GGAAGAGTTTGCTGTGGAAAAAGTGTGGATTAGAAGGACAAATGTAGCCTTTATGGCTAGAAATGCTGAGACATGACAAATAATCAGTAAGTGCTAGGAAAAGTCTTGGTAGATGCTTTAGGCGTCATGTAATCTTGGAACACTGTGAAAAGCACTAGTCTCGAAGCCCCCAAGGTGGCCAACTGCCCTCTTGTGAAAATTGTCTCTGCTCTACGTTCTAACCGGGAGCTCTGCTTATCTCCTGCCAGGAAGAAGCTGGCACAGCGCCTGCAGGATGCAGAGGAACACGTTGAGGCTGTGAATGCCAAATGTGCCTCCCTGGAAAAGACCAAGCAGAGGCTGCAGAATGAAGTGGAGGACCTGATGATCGACGTGGAGAGATCTAATGCTGCCTGCGCAGCTCTGGATAAGAAGCAGAAGAACTTTGACAAGGTCTTTGGGCTCCAGCCCCGGGGCTCCTGGGCAGAGCATGTCCTCCTGACTGCCACCTGCATACTGACGCCCCGTTTCTCCTCAGATCCTGGCAGAATGGAAGCAGAAGTATGAGGAAACGCAGGCTGAGCTGGAAGCCTCCCAGAAGGAGTCTCGCTCTCTCAGCACGGAGCTCTTTAAGATGAAGAATGCCTATGAGGAGTCCTTGGACCACCTGGAAACGCTGAAGCGGGAGAACAAGAACTTGCAGCGTAAGTGCCTGGCCCTCTGCTCCTGGCAGGGCTTTCTGCTGTCCACCACTACCGCCTGCAGCTCTGCAAAGATACTTGTCACCTTGGTGTGGCTGGGCCCTTCCGCTTCAGCTCTGAGCCTGACCGTGCCACTTTTCACCCTTCCTTGCAGAGGAGATTTCTGACCTCACGGAGCAGATTGCAGAGGGGGGAAAGGTGATTCATGAGCTGGAGAAAATCAAGAAGCAGATCGAGCAGGAGAAATCTGAAATCCAAGCTGCTCTAGAGGAAGCTGAGGTACACACCCACAGTCACTGGTGTCTGCCCAAAAATATGAGCAATGAGGAAATATGGCTGAAAAACCTTTGTTCCCCTCTGGGCTGGGCAATGCAGCCAGCTGAGTTCTCTTGAAATATTCTGTCATTACCCAGAAAAATAATAGTAGCTTTGTTAATGTTATAAATGTTTGTTTTCAATTTTCCAGGCCTCCCTAGAACATGAAGAGGGGAAAATACAGTGCCTCCAGCTTGAGCTCAACCAAGTGAAATCTGAGATTGACAGGAAGATTGCAGAGAAAGATGAGGAGATTGACCAGATGAAGAGAAACCACCTCAGAATTGTGGAGTCCATGCAGAGCACCCTGGATGCTGAGATCAGGAGCAGGAACGAAGCCCTGCGGCTGAAGAAGAAGATGGAGGGAGACCTGAATGAAATGGAGATCCAGCTGAGCCATGCCAACCGCGTGGCTGCAGAGGCCCAGAAGAACCTGAGAAACACGCAGGCAGTGCTCAAGGTCCGTTCAGCAAAGATGCGTATAGAAGAATGTCTACCTTACATTTTTAAGACCCAGGAGTGTTGTGCCACCTTATAATTTCTCTTTCCTCTCTTTTACAGGATACCCAGATACACTTGGACGATGCTCTCAGGACACAGGAGGACCTGAAGGAGCAGGTGGCCATGGTGGAGCGCAGAGCAAACCTGCTGCAGGCTGAAGTTGAGGAGCTACGGGCAGCCCTGGAGCAGACGGAGCGCTCGAGGAAAGTGGCTGAGCAGGAGCTCCTGGATGCCACTGAACGTGTGCAGCTCCTCCATACCCAGGTCAGGGCATTCTGTGGAGACCAGACATAGAGACCTAACATGTAATAATGATGTGTGTTAGAGATGAGGTTGTGAGAAACATCTAGAATAGATTCTCTACTGCTCTCTACAAGGGAAGGTATACTCACAACCCGTCACCCGAGTCCAGCACTCACAATTTGTAAACAACTATTTTAAAAAACATTCCAGATTCTGAATTACAAGCTTGAAGAGGAAAGTCTTTTCTCAGGCTCTACGTTTGTTATGCAGGCTTCAAAGTTATAAACCCCTATGTCTTCCTGTTGCACAGAACACCAGCTTGATCAACACCAAGAAGAAGCTGGAAACAGACATCGCCCAAATTCAGGGTGAAATGGAGGATACGATCCAGGAAGCCCGCAATGCTGAAGAGAAGGCCAAGAAGGCCATCACAGATGTGAGCTGGGGGCTCCTTTCACTGCTACTGGAGGATGTGTTCTCCCCAAAATGTCTCCAACCCCAAAATGGCTTTCACCCTTTGCTCCCTTCAGGCAGCCATGATGGCCGAAGAGCTGAAGAAGGAGCAGGACACCAGTGCCCACCTGGAGAGGATGAAGAAAAACCTGGACCAGACGGTGAAGGACCTGCAGCACCGTCTGGATGAGGCCGAGCAGTTGGCACTGAAGGGAGGCAAGAAGCAAATCCAGAAGCTGGAGGCCAGAGTGCGTAGGGCTTTGAGTTGTGCGTGAGAGAACGTGTCATGCAAATAAGCAGCATGGAAACTCCAAAGCCGGGCTTCTCATTGCAGGTGAGGGAGCTGGAAGCGGAGGTTGACGCTGAGCAGAAGCGCAGCACTGAAGCCGTGAAGGGCGTGCGCAAGTACGAGAGGAGGGTGAAGGAGCTGACCTACCAGGTAAGGCAGGAGGCCTCCTTTGGCTGACACACCCTCATCCCAGAATATCAAAGATTCTTCACATGAACTCTAGGGGGAAATATTATTTTGTGGTATGGGGAAAACAACTCATTCTCTTTGCTGCTTACAAACCACTCTAGTCTGAGGAAGACCGGAAGAATAATCTCAGGCTGCAGGACCTGGTGGACAAGCTGCAAATGAAGGTGAAATCCTACAAGAGGCAAGCTGAGGAGGCTGTAAGTATCACTCTGTGTGGTGGTGATGACACTTTCAAGGGGGAAAACTTGGGTGTTTGTGAAGTTATTTGGGGAATTTATGAGTTGGGTGTTTTTTTAATCATGTTATATTTCAGGTTTGATAATGTATCCTCAGGACCGTTTCACAGAATATTAAGCAAGTAGTTATATTTGATAATGTGGAGACTATTTCACTCTATAAATGAACTTATTTTCAAATGTAAATACTTGTCAATTCTCCTTCACAAGTACACAACAATTTAGTAATTTCTTACAATCTATGTGACTAATTTAACATATTTAAATAGTTTTGGGTTTGGTTGCAGTATCTTGTTGCTTTTTTTAGAAGACCATGGTTTTATATGGTATTTCTCTACCTTCCTAATAGAAATGTGGTTTTGATAACCATGCTAGACTTCTGAAAGTTCCATATTATATGGAAAGGTACCTCTGAGAAAAAGTAGGCTGAAGTCTTAGAATGTTGTTTTGCTGCTATTTCTACCATTTCTATGGAATATGACCAAGTGATTTAGCAGTTGATTTAGCAGTTCATGAAGATGAGGGACCCAGGTGTGCTGCTCAAGTTTGTTGGTGACTGCTAGAAGTGTTCCAGAAGTGATGGCAACATGCTATAGATAAGTTTCCAATATCAGGTGGAACAATCATCCCAGCACTTCAAAGAGTTCTCAGTCAAAATGGAGTTCCTGAAAAAAATAACAGGTTTGCTTTACCAGAGTGCAGTTTTTATTCCCAAGGCTTGGGCTGATACATCCTGATCTGGCTGATGAATCGCCAAGTGATGGACCTGCAGGAGGAAGCAAGCAGGCTGTGTTGTTTCTGGAATGCCAAATGAGATCAGCAGGTCCTCAGAGAGGCACTGATGGTGCAAGAGCTCAAACCCTGCATTAGGGGGGTTGATGAAGACTTCCAAGAAGCTTGAAGCTTTTGACATCTGTTAAGTGGAGAAGGCACATTCACCACCTACAGATGTACACTTCTAGACTTATACACAGGATCTGGTGACAAGTGAGATATGTTTCTTCAGAGGAGGCATCTGGGCCAGGTGAGCCTGACCCATGCTTATACTGGACACACTTTTCTAAATAGTGTGGAGGAACTCATCTTCCAACCAGAGCTGCTTTCTCAGGAAGTTTGCTTCTTGCCAAGGGCTCTAAACCAGAATGTTGTGGAGGGCTAAAAATCTTGAGTAGCCATCAGATTGAACCATAGAACCATTGTTTCTCCTTGGCACATGGGTCCTGCTTTGCAAAGGAAACAGGACTAGGTAAATTACTGAGATCCCTTTCATTGTGAGATAATAGTTTCTGATACTCAGTGATGGTGCCCAGAGATTACTGATCTCTGGGGACTACAGTGAAGGGTGTGGGAGTTCAAGTGTTGTCCTCCCTGATTCTGCTGATCAAGGGGACTGCTTGGGTATGAAAAGATGCATTCTTCAGGTGAACAGCTGGTTATGTGGCTGATGTCACAGGCAAGGCTTTGGCTTTTATGACCACATCTTCTTTTCTGAGGAACAAGAACTTCTGGGGAGTGGTGGATTTATCTGAACAAATAAGGTAAAAGCATATTTGCCAGCAAGCTTTTGATTCAGTGAGGAGAGTTTTAAACTAGATTTATTGGATATTGGGTTGGGGGATGAATTCCCGTGCAGGCCACTGGAGACAAGACCACAGACAATTAATATGATTGGAAATCAAGCTCAAACTTTATTAGCAAGCAAGCCCTTATATACTCGTGCATTCTAAAAATAGCAGCAAGCCTTTATATACTGTTTTTCTATCTTGCGTTACTCCTGCACATGCTTATCTCTAAAAGTAGCTCCCCTCAGTACTTTGCACAAACATTGCCACCTGTACATAGCCAGTAAGTTCCTGCTTTTGAAATTCCAGAAAATCCCTTCTTTAACAATTTCTTCCTTAACAAGCATATTCTTTTCTTCTGACATTTTTGTAACTATTTCTTGCTTTTAGATGTCATTAATCTTCTGCCCAGAGTGCTGGTTATACTTTTCCATTGTCAGTGTGGGCAGAAAGTTCAGTAATCCAGCATATGCACCCACATGCTGGTAACAACATTCCCCAAATAAAAAGACAAATGGATGCAGGGAGGAATTATCTGTGGGACAGCATGAGGAGGAAGGTTCTCACACCTCCCCTGAGAAAGCAGCATGACAGAAAACCATCTCATGTGTCTGTAGAAAAACTTGTACAGTATGGGAAACATGCAGGAGGAATTAGAAGTCTGTGTACAGTCACTGCAGTGTTGAGATTCTCCTCAATATCACATACACAGTCTTATAACTCTTATGACTGGAGTGCTGTGTTTTTAAGGACTGTTTCTACAGAGCACAGGAATGTGCAGGAAGTCAAGCAGTTTTTGCAGGAGTCTATATATTCTGAATAGACAATTCCTGACTAAGCTCAAAACCAAAAAGAAAGTATATGGAAAGTGGAAGCGTGGATGAGCATCCTGTGAGGAGCATAAGAGTATTGCCTGAACATATAAGGATGGAGCCAGGAAAGCTGAACTGTAGAGGAAGATTGAACTGGCAACCACTTAAGCAAACAGCACATACATGAGTTCAATAGACTAGATGGCTGCACCTGACTGTGCTAGGGAAGCTGGCCAATGCCACTGCAATTTTTCTATTAACTTTGAAAGGTTATGGCAACTGGTGAAAGTCTCTGATGACTGTAAAAGCACTCATCTTAAAGAAGGGCAAGATGGAGTATTTGGAAAGACAGCAGGTCAACCTTACTTCAGGTAGTGGGAAGATCATATTTCAATTCCTCCTGGAAGTAATGTCAAGGCACATGAAGGAGAAGAAGGTAATTGGAAACTGCCAGCATGGATTTATCAAGTAGAGTTTTTTCTGTTGTCTTCAGCACTCAAACATGATTTTGTCAAAAAGGAGACACACTTGCCTTGGAGGTGCACGTTCCAAAGGATGAGTGCCTAAAAGGCACATGTTGCATCAGAAAAATTCTGACTGATATTAGGATAAAACCCATGAAAGTGCTTAAGTACTGAAACAGGAGCCCAGAGAGGCTGTGGAATCTTCATTCTTGTGGATTCTCAAAACTCAACAAGTCCCTAAGTAACCAGATCTAACACTGGTGCTAGACCTGTGTGAGTGGGAAATTGAAATGGATGGTGGCCTAAGGTTTCAGACAACCTAGAATTTCAATGTCCGGTCCTTAGGTTAAATAAAAGCTATTTATGATTGAACATTTCATTCAGAGGTAAGATGTACCTGTTCTAGAAATACATGCCAATCAACAAGAGGTAGATGGTCTTGAAGTCCACAGGCAGAAAGAGGGAAGAGACTGGATTAGTAGCTGTTTGGATTAGGAAGTGAATGGTCTTTACACTTTTCTTTGAGACAGACACTTACTTTCTGTCTGTAATACATTCACAGGTGTTTATTGTCAGTCTTGTCAGAATTCAAAAGGCCTAGAGCATCAAAGAGAATGTTACTTCTATAGGTCTTCAAGTCTGGGTTATCAGAAGCAGGATACTAAATTCAATACAACCATATTTGAAGTTATTTAGGGGACCAACAGTGGTTGCTTTTTAGTTCAGTTCTGAAAAAAAGACATACATAGATGCATTGAATTGCTCATCTGACAAGTTCTTCTAAGGTACAACATAGCATGTCCACAATCTCCTTACTGCTACATGCATTTGATTAAAATATACATTTTTAGTATTATTCTGTAGACAAAATGAAGTTCCATAAAACCTTTAGTGAATTTTCATTATAAGAAACTACAAAGATGGAGAAGATCTGAATTAAGAGCCTAGATAAGAGCTGGGAAGTGGGGACTAGGGTTACTCCTGTAGGAATATGCAGGCTACAGGTAGAGGAAACTGGAAGTGTCAGCCTTTCTGTTTTCACAACTCCCTCTCCCCCACAGGAGGAACAGTCCAATGTCAATCTCATCAAGTTCCGCAAGATCCATCATGACCTAGAGGAAGCTGAAGAGCGGGCTGACATTGCAGAGTCACAGGTCAACAAGCTCCGAGTGAAGACCCGTGAGATTTACAGGAAAAATTAAGAACAAGAATTAGTATCTAGAAAACCATAAAGTGACTAGGGAATGCACAGAATGTGGAGCTCTTTCCCCTTTTCCCAAACTGTAGTTTGTTCCTTTAGAAAGTTGTAGCAAATAAAGATTGTAGAGATCTTGGCACAGTAAGCGTTTCAGATTACCTCCTTTTTCTTCTCCAATCTCATTAATCTTTTCTAAATCCTTAACTTTCCCTCCTGTTTATTTTGTGCCTGCATTATGATGTATCCTGATATATTATAATGGAAAGTTATTAAATATGTAAGTACATATGTATGTTTATATATATATCCTGTTATATACAGGTTTGTATATATATATACTCCATATGATGCAATACATGACTGACAATGGAAAGTAGTGTTAATTGAAGCATCAAGTGGGGAAATTACTGTTTGACACAGTGATTGTGAAAGTGCCTTAGCCTAAGCAGGTTTTCTGCAATATGGTTTTTATGCTGTCCTCAATTTCTCCATTTGTTTCACAGCTGTATCAAATAATGTTGCACTCAGATCTTTCACTGTTAGTAGTTTTAACATTTCAGGCAGAGAACTGTTTGTGGGATGAAGGCAGGGATATAGTGTCCTTGTGGTAGAGGGAGGAGAGGGAGAGAGGGGAAGAGTTTGCTGTGGAAAAAGTGTGGATTAGAAGGACAAATGTAGCCTTTATGGCTAGAAATGCTGAGACATGACAAATAATCAGTAAGTGCTAGGAAAAGTCTTGGTAGATGCGTTAGGCGTCATGTAATCTTGGAACACTGTGAAAAGCACTAGTCTCGAAGCCCCCAAGGTGGCCAACTGCCCTCTTGTGAAAATTGTCTCTGCTCTACGTTCTAACCGGGAGCTCTGCTTATCTCCTGCCAGGAAGAAGCTGGCACAGCGCCTGCAGGATGCAGAGGAACACGTTGAG